GACAGGAAGAGGAAAGTATCTAAAATGAATTTTTCTTGAGTCATTACAATACTCAAAACAACACATATTATATATCTGCTTCAGATATCGGTGGATGTTTTTTTTTTTTTTTTTTAAACCGTTTCATTGTGGTGGCTTCCCTTCGTGTTTAAGTTCGACAAACTGGTGCAAGAGCTCGCCAATAGTCCGACCAGGGCGTTGGATGGCGACCAGACTGCCCTCACAAGATTCAATGGGCATGACCGTCATAATCAGAGTCAATAGTGCAAAGAACATCATTACTACAGTCACTGTTAATCGCAGTGCCCTCTTCAGCTGGTACCAAGGCAAGCTAACATCAATTGGAAGCCAGTCTAATAAAGGGTTCTGTTGTACATGAAAACTGAAAGAGAAATTATAGAGAATTCAAATCTTGTGAGTGCTTTGCAGCAGTCAATTGAAGAGTTTAAGTACCAGAAAATATTAATAACTGTAGAAGTCATGTATCACACCCTTTTTTTGGTCACAAAATATACCAAGCATTGATGTAGTTATTCATTTGAACATCAGTATCATCATCCATCTTCTTCACCATCACTTTTATTATCATTCTCTTCATCATTATCATCATATAGAGAAAAAAAATGCCAGCCAATAATGACAATGATAATTTTAAATTATCAACCAAACACCAAAAAATGTAGAGATTCTTTAAATATGTAGACATATATGGTACCCAGACTAATAGCCTTCCTCCTTGCAGAGCATTAATCAAGGTACCATTAATACTACTGTATAATAAATATTAATATTAGCATTATCGTTACTCTCAATCTCTCGCTAATGTTCGTTCATTATTAGAATGGATCCAGGGTAATAATCAATCTCTCTCATCTAGCAGATTGATGATTGAAATATTCCCCCACTTCTATCAATAACATCAAGCAATATCCTACACTGATTTACCATACAAACTAGCACTAGATGAAGCATATATTATAGGATATACTGCTTATGATAAAATCTGAAATAATTTTCAAGGATTATATTAATGTATTGAATTGATCAATTAAAGAATCTAATGAGATGACACAGACCAAAACAATTCAGTTTTTTTTTTAATTTTCTAATGTTTCACTACAAAAACTAGTGGTACAGTATATAAATAAACTAATAGACTAAACCATAAGTAAAAAATACAGTATAGCAATACTGTAATTACTGTAATACAGTATAGCAATACTGTAATAACTGTAATACAGTATAGCAATACTGTAATTACTGTAATACAGTATAGCAATACTCTAATTACTGCAATACAGTATAGCAATACTGTAATTACTGTAATACAGTATAGCAATACTGTAGTTACTGTAATACAGTATAGCAATACTGTAATTACTGTAATACAGTATAGCAATACTGTAATTACTGTAATACAGTATAGCAATACTGTAATTACTGTAATACAGTATAGCAATACTGTAATTACTGTAATATATTTATAATAATAATAACTACTTCAGTCAGCAAGCTATTTATTCAAATATCAGATAATGCACCATGCAATGAATACACCAGTCCATCATCATAACATAGCCATATTACTGTACTATGAATATTGTAGCTATCCTCTTTTTGTATACTAATAATATAATTGTTACCAGAATCGGCATCACAATCATCATCATCCTCATTAGGTGGTCATAACTATATCACAATCATCAGATATGATTCATCATTATTACAAATTATGAGTTTAGAAAATCTAGTAACTGTATTACCATAAGGACGCCATTTTGATGAGAAGGTAAAGAAACGCCAACTTACGCCTCGGTGGTCTGCGAGTGCTCATCTTCTGCCTTATCCATCAGTTCCTCCAGGTTATCACACAATCCTTTTTGTTGTTCTCTTAATTCTACTAATTCTTGTGACAGTTGGACTCGAACTCCTTCCTCAAATCTACAAGTAAAATGTACTAAAGATCAGCACATTGAAGCAGGAAGGGTTGAATAATAGAAAAATAAACTTAAAGGGAAAAAATATCAAGAATCTCTCTGCTGTGAAGGCCGTGATTTCCATGAATGTTATATGTTATTCACAATCCCCTAATTAATGTAAATAAATGTAAAGAAAAATTAAATAAGTAATAAATTAAACCAAAAATATACAAATGATAAAAATAATGAATAAATAAGCAATCTTACCCTTTATTGAATTGCTCCTCTTTAATTAGAATTTCATTCTGGGTTGGTGAAGATGCTGAGGTAACTGGACTTGATTCATCACTAAAAGTCACTTGACTCTTCCTAAAAACCAAATCACATCGATATATTTTTATAAAATAGTATAATAAATCCAAGTATCGAAATGCATGCCATCATGTCAGGATTCAATATTTCAACATTAATTATGTCGTCATCAGGAATGAAAAAATTATCCATATTTGCAAGCTTATATGCACAAGTACCAAAAGTGTTCGACCAATCAAAACATTACCACTTTAGGTGACATAGTTATGAATAAACTAAAGATCAAAGCATTCTTGCCCTACCGATCAAAGCTACCTACAAAAACAAAGAAAGCTCCTTTGAAGCTTTCAGCTCATTGTTAAGCAATGGGTGTAGCCTACGTATAGCAAACGCTTCTTTAAACAATAGTATAGACCAATTTTGTGAACTGTCAATAATGTTAGTATTAGAAAATATTAAACCTAATTTATTACTTACATTACAGGCTACATTATCATTTTACAAGTATACCTTGTAAACCTAAAACATATTAGAATGCCCTACAATTTTGTATATGATCATTTATAACACTATCAGATCGTGAAGAATGTTCTTTAAGTCTAGTTATTAAGCATCTATCTGTCTTACCAATATAATCACTATTACAACCTGTACATTTAAAATGATAAACAACAGAGCTCCTATATCCCTTAGGGGTTTGATCTTTAGTAGATATAAAATGAGAGACATTTTTGTACTGCCATAATGTTATGAATTTTACCTCTTTAACTAAGTGTTTCTCTACTTTGTTTAAGCATCTACGTAAAATGGATTCACCTGCCTTTCCTAGATAAGGCAATCTAACCCAGATATTAAGCTATCATCAGTAGGGTTCATTTAATTTTTTATGCTTTCCTAGTATTAGTTAATTTTGGAGAGCGCCACCAGCAACGGTATATATCGAGAAACTTTTATGCGAACTTCTTGCTAATCCAAGAAAAAGTATACTATGAAACGCCAAGCAAATAGGTAATATGGAACACCATTGGTGCCAAAATAGATTTAAAGACAGATTAGGGACTGGAGCCCAGTCTAACAGTTTGTGGGCTCTTGAAACTAAACTACGAATCCAAGAAATCTTATCGTTCCATGGGGCAAAGCTATCATGATGGATATATTGACCTGTATGTGTATTTTTACGATACTCATGCTTCCTACGCTGTTGTCAAATTGTAAATCCAGAAAATGTACTATATCACTGTTTTCAAATGATTCAAAGGTAAAATTAATCTGTTTATGAAAAGCGTTAAAGTGACAAAGGATGTGATGAAAATCACTAGGTTTAGCTGGCACTAGTGTGTCAGTATAAAACTTAATACTACCTGATTCTATAAGTTTAGGAACAATAAGACTCTTCTAGTTCAGTCATTAAAATATTGGCTAAAACTGGTCCAAGGGTGAGCCTATTGAAACGCCGTCAGTTTGTTTACAGAATTCATTATTACACGTAAATACAGTTTTAGTACAGCAATCCCTAAGTAGTTTCCTTAACATATTTTTCTTAAGATTAGTAGATATCAATTTCTTATTGTAAACCCTATCAAGAATTATATTAATTACCTTAGTAAGGGGAAAATTTGTAAACAGGAATATTGAATCCGGACAAAATGGCATGCATTTTGATACTTGGAGTATATATTATACTATCTTATCTTGATATTTTTTTTAAAACTCCAGAAAATCTACACTACTGGGCCAAACAGTAATATGATAGATCAGCACCCTGTGCGGCATGGATCCATCATCACCATCCATACCAACCACCATCGTCATCACCATCACCACACCTACTGTCATCATTATCACCGCCACCACAACTATCACAACCATCATCATGCTTATTGTCATCAGCATCAACACCTACAATCATCACTATCATCACCATCACTTCAAACCTATTTCATCAAGGACGCTGCTAGATTTCCTAATTGTGCTCAAACAAAAGAGCCAAGAGCATGCAATAATGCTTTTAATACTAGAGCCAAATGGGTTTAGTACATGATTTTCCTCAACACCACTCTACCACTTAAAACTGGAATAGATGATGTGCACTTTAAAGTAAAATTTCATAGGAAATCAATAACTAGTGTGTGCCATTCTAACGAATGATAAATGCCTGCTGGTAGATTTGCAATGATGGAAGAGACATTATTCTTAAAGAGGAAGTTGCCTAGATAAACACAATACTCATTCAACGGAAATTTAATTAAATATATTTAATTAATTAATTAACATATTGAGAAATGTTTATTATTTTTGTTTTTTGTTTTATTATTATGTGGAAGATAAAAACATACAAAAAGATAAATGCAACCTTACAAATAAAATCTGGGATTGAGCTATAGAAATGTTTATTATTTTTCATGATTTTTTTTGTATATTACACTGGGACATTTTTTTTAGATAAAAACATACAAAATGATGAATGCATCATTACAATTAAAATCTATGTCTGATCTAGAGAACTGTGTTATCGAAGACATTGATTTAGGATTAATGGCTGATCAGCTAAAATGGCAAATATGGGATCAGGTTGCAGTATAATCTTCAACGCCCGAAAACATAAAATTCATGTCAGTTGCATTATTGCTATATTACGTCAATAGCATCTCCAATCGCGTTGCATCACTAGTTCAAGGTCGTTAAAACGTCAATTACATCTTAACTAGGACTGGAAACATTGGTAACACTGCACCTTCTGCCTATCAGGGGAAGCAATTTTGATATCGAATAGCAAATTAAATATCATCAATGAAATGAAAACTGGAATAATAATTATTATTATAAAGCCATTTTTTTAAGGAGACATACACAAATATTTTATGAAGTGAATATATATATTTCAAGTTGAAAAAATATTTTGGAGAATATAAATACTTAGCCTCGCATTTTGCCCAAGATACCAACAAGGCAATAACAACAATCTGAATGAATATATTTTCTATTTCACTGCTAAATTATAAATTTACAAATCATTATGCTAGGTGTACTGGCTGAATTTCTGTTTACATTACTTTGTAAAAACAGACACTTTAATGTGGTGATTTAGCTCACCTGCGAAAATAACAAAATAATAATGTGAATGTGGTATCACAGGAGAAATGGGCCACATGGCTCATGGGTCATTCCATGTACATCTCCTAATCAATTCCCATCATGATGCCAGTCTATCAACACCTCAGTTACTCTCAATTCCCTGCATAAATACATCTTAACCGAACCTTTCCATGATCTTATGCGTCCTAAGAGCAGTGTTCTCCCAATTGAAACATTTTTACTGGTAAATTTGTCCATAAAAATTCAGCTATGCACACAGTGTGAGCATTATCGCTTTTGAGTGGGGTTTAATGATTTGAAAAAAAAAAACAACAAAACATATAGTCAGAGCCTAGGTATGGAGTAGAATGATATTCACTTATTGAAAGAAGGCTAGCCTAAACTATCTAGGCCTAATCATTGGTTTCATTATATTACAATCTCAAAATTTTTACTGGTTGGCCAGTTATTTTTACCGGTAAAATCTACAGCTAAAACAGTTTCAGGAGAACACTGTAAGAGTTTTAGCTTATGATTGCCAAGTGGTTCTACCACCCAAATCATCACGCAAGTATAATGTGACCCATCCCATAATGGTTTACTGCTGGAGAGTTTATAGAGCGTCTTCTTCATTACAATTATTAATAACCTTAGTATTCGCAGCAATAATGCTGGGTTTGTTCTGCATCTTTTTTTCATTAATGATAATGTTGATTATGCTATATTTTTAGCATAAATCAATCCATTGTTCTACGCAGAATTATTACTGTATTGTATTCACATGGCTAGTATCAATTGTTACCCACCATTGTTTTTAAACATAATCATCCTTGGTAGAAAAGTTGATTATATTAGGTGTTAAACCTAATTTTTGAATACATTAAAGATCTCAATAAAATATTATCTATCAATAGCGTGCATCTGTATATTAAATTCATTGTGCTCGTTTATACTGCATAATGATGTCAGGAAAATATAACTGCACGTCTAACACAATAAAGATGATTTTAATGGAGTTGGATGCATTGTCTGATAAAAGATAGTATATTTCTTTGTACTTTTTCAATTGAATGACAAACACGCTACTGACTTTGCTGAACACATTAACTACTGCAGCTTCTTCACATGTATAACAGAGGTGATTACTGTTTAACAGAGGAAAAGAATAGCACTTTACTAGTTTTCTAGAAGGGCTGAAAAAAAAAAAACAATAATGGGATAACCTAAAATAACCAAAGGACACAAAGGCATTATGTTATCCAAGGCCTTTGTATCTGATGTTCTTCATATTATATACCATTCCATCATAGTTTTTAAAAATATATATATGATTATCATCTTATTTTGGAGTCCCCTAAGGAAGTCCACTGTTTGTTCATAAAACATTATTACTGCTACCATTATTAATGTTCTGTTATTATTATCATTATAAATATTGTCATCATCATCATCATCATCAATAAATAATTATTCCACAACACAACTTCATGACAAAATATATTACAAATTTGTTTGTATCAATTTTAACATGTTTATCAATGTACACAATATTATTCATTTGTGACGATACTGACTTCCCACCCCCCACCGCAAGTGTAACGCTATTGCAAGGCCCGATCAGGACGGCAATGGGCAGATGGTTTGGTACGGCCTTTCACAACCCGTGGTGCAGAAATCACGGCTGCTTCCATTTGTCCAATACATGTTCCTGTAAGTTTTGTGGCTCATCTGCTTCCCTCTCCCGGTATCACCTCCTCACTTGTCCTTGGCTAACAATAGTCATCAGCTCAGGGTTAGAGAAACGCATCTCATCAATTGAAAATATTTTACAACTCTGTACTGAAACCTATTATTAGCGCGGATGGTGGCTTAAATGGTGTCACTGGTTGACATGTGTCTTTGTGGGCTCGATAGGGCATTATATTCTTTTTTTTTAAATATAACGTTTCAGAATACGAATATTATTATTAGTTATTTTCTGATAAATTTCTGATTTATTTCCAAACAGCTGCAAATGACAACTACTATATGATCAATATTATATTTCCCTCAAAACAAACATTTTTGACGGTGTATAATTGCCAAAGTGATATCCATAAATTCATCTGTGATTTCTAGAGACAGATGAATAGGGTAAAGTTTCATAGGATTTGTAAGAAACTAGATAACACTAACCTTTTCGCTGGCGTTGTGCTTTGTTGAGCAGACTCTGACTTGGAATTTATGAACATTGTGCTTAATTTGTTACGAACAGCAGTTGCTGCGATTGCTGATGAAAATCGGGATCTTGCATCCTGTGTGCCAATATCATATCACACTTACAAATCGATGATAATTATAAATAATCATAATAATAATAATAATAATAACAATAATAATAATAATAATAATAATAATAATAATAATAATAATAGTAATAATAATAATAACAATAATAATAATAATAATAAATATTTTTTTTAATGTGAAATTAAATGATACTCTATCAAGGAGACTCAAAGAGATTAAACTGTATGTTGTATGTCGAAAAAAATATGGCACAATGGTTGTGTGCTGAGCTTCTAACCAAATGGCAGTGGGTATGAGTCCAAAGTCAGTCACATTGCTTTACTGTAGATTGGTAGGATGTTCACATGAAGTTTAAAATGAAATTGGTCTGTGCTGGATTACATGCATGGCTACGAATCCTCCCAAAGCGGTGGAGGACGTTGCATGTTGGGTATACCTAATTCTGTACCCACCAAATAAGTGTAACGCAAGCCCCACTAACATAACCTTGCAGTTAAAAAAAATCTATTTAAGATCTATCAAAAATCTATATAAATAGTAAAACATTATTCACTTAAAAAATAATAGTTCTGAAATTATAATCAAAACAACCTAAATAAAAACCTGAACATCTGTATAAAAGATTAGATACTTTAATTATCATGAACAGTCACAAAAAGATAACTGAGATTTGAGTTTTCGTTGGTGACAATGCATACAGTATAACATATAAATTAGTAGACCTATTCGAAAGCAATATGCAGAAATTCAAAACATGTGCAATGCAATTATTTAAAGTTATTAACAAATGTACTTTCAATATAAATAATTTATCAAGCGAACATTTTAAACCCTTTCGACCATTATTTTCCAAATGTATGTTATGTATAAACAAACTTATTATTATTATTACTTGTTGATGTATTTGTAATTGTTTATTATTTAACTTTTCAACGCAACAGTTGATGACCATGATTAAGAATTCACATGCTGTGAAATACATTCCAGGGCAGTGTGAAATTTATGTTCACAAATTTAGTCCTTTAACAAATACCTGTATATTCTTTTTATTACATATGCAATCAATATTTTCCTTTCCGAGATCATATATAATTTTCTTTTTTATGTGAAAGTCAATAATTTAGGTAAATTAATAATTCAAAATTTTAACAAACTGATTTCACTATATATATATATATATCTCCAAAGTAATTTTTGAGTAAATAATTAAGTTTAAATACTGTATATTTTGAGCTCCCTGTGAATAAAGAAAATAATTAGATTCATAACCTCATCGTTAGTGCTGGATGCTAGTGGGGGTTGGTGCTGGATGGAGTAACGTCTAACGGTCGGTAATCTGCTGTGTAAGCTCTCATGCTGGTGTTAATAAGAACACAAATGTAATGTTAGGTATCAGTAAGGTTTAATAAGGTATGTAAATTATAAGTTGCAAAAACAAAAATTAAAACTTAAAAAAACAAGGTTAAAAATGCAGTCATAGATCCAGTCCGAGTACATGGGTACCCATGTGGCCATTCCACTTGTGGTTCCTCCCTGTGGCCATTCTCCCTTGTAGTACATCACTGTGGCAATTCCCCTTATGGTTCCCCTGTGTCCATTCCCCTTGCAGTTCAGTCCTGTGGCCATTCACCTTGTGGTTCCTCCCTGTGGCCATTCTTCCTTGTAGTACATCCCTGTGGCAATTCCCCTTGTGGTTCCCCCTGTGGCGATTCCACTTGTGGTTCCCCCTGTGGCAATTCCCCTTGTGGTTCCCCTTGTGGTTCCCCCTGTGGCCAATCCCCTTGTGGCCACCCCTGTGGCAACTCCCTATGTGGTTCATCCCTGTGGCCATTCCCCTTGTGGTCCATCTCTGTGGCCATCCCCTTATGGTTCACCCCTGTAGGCATTCATTTCACTTGCAGTTCATCCCTGTGGCCTAGAAAGTGATGAGCTCATATTTCATCTTTGATGTGTTAAAATTTTAAAAGTACCTGAATACCACTTTATCATTATTAATCTAAAATTTGCACAGAAATGTAATAACATCTACATTACTGTAGGAGATAGATTTGACCATGCTATAATATAAATTCAATATTATTAAAATCAAGCCAGATATATTTGAATTTTACTATATATCTCTTTTTCAAACCATTTTCCTTTAGGCCATTACTATTTAATTACTGAACACTTTATCGATTTACTTTTATAAAACAGTAAACACCTTTAGGAAGAAGACTATCTGCCTCTTACTTGCTATAGGTGTTGTAAAATGAATCTCAATGAAAGAGACTTACCCACATGATTAAAACCAAAATATGACTAGAGACCAGAATGGACTTCATGTGACATTTTAAATTAAAATGTGGGATTACTAGAGACAAGTGCAAGTAAAAAAAAAAAAATTAAACTGAAGGTAACAAAAACCTTGTAGTCCTCTAGGTTGAAGGAAGTAGAGGGTTGAAAAGAAAATCGTCTAGATTTCTTTCTAAGTGACTGGAGAACAAAACAAACAGTTAGTGTGGCATAATGAATAAGGAATGCACATGTGTACATTAATATGGCAGTCTCTCATTTTCATGTAACCATTTATTTGTGAGGACTTTTTCATATACTTATACATTTGAATAAGTAATCATCCTTTAGTTCTACGGTAGGCAACCCATGGGTCACGACGACCCAAGTTTGGTTTGTGGATAAATTTTTGAACGTCGACAGATCGCATGTGGTTCTCAAAAAAAGTATTAAAAATACTTGTTGCAATTAACATTAAAGCCCCATTCCCGGCAAAATTTCAGTTTTTAAGAAAAATCTAATTTTTGTATAATGTTATAAAGATTTATAAATATAATACGGAATTGCTAGTTTAACTGAATTTAGACATTCCTAAGAATGAACAAAATGTAAAATAAGACTGAAATTTGATTTTTTGTGTTCCACACAAAAAATAAAGCGGATGAATTTTTCATTTTGATTTTGCGATAGGTCATGAGAATAAATATCGTAGGCGCCGAAAACATTAGCCTATCCAGCGCTGCTAGGCTAGGCCTAGCCTTACCTCGATTTAGGTTCTGTTATCACACATAAAAACGGCCGACATGATATATTCCGTTGCTAGTATTGACACTTGTGAAATATAATATTTCACAGGAATTATTTCAAATTTGTTAAAAAACTGATTCTGACTGAGATTTTAACACTTAAACAAGCATATCTCAGCTTTAATCGAACGACCGCATTGTGCGAGATACGAAGTACAAAAAATAATCTCATTAGAGAGGGCGCACTTTATTGACTGTTTAAAAGTATACATAAAAGCGAGAGTATTCCAGTGGATGCGATCTACAACCTCTGAATTTGCCTAGTAACGATGAATTCGTCCAGAAAATGGTAATATTTTATGAGAAATAGTCTGTATTTCTCTTTTTATTTTTTTTATTCTTTTGCATAAACTTAAGAATCATGCCAATATTTTTCCATGATTTATAATAATTGGAGTAATGCAAATACAATATTGGGTTCACGCTTACTGTCAGGGGAAATTTTTTCACTTTACCCTTACCTAAAAGTTTGTAAAGTGACTTGTACTATCTATTTCCATAAACAGACATCATATCATGAATATTGGTGAAGCCTATAAAAGTGAATATTAAGTTTTTGAATAAATCAATAATTTTCTTCTCACTTTTCTATCTCAAGCTGGAGTTGCAGTAATGAGCCAAGATCCAAAATGTATAATCCTATGTACGTTGCATTAAAACTATTTTATTTTTATTTTTATTTTAATTTTGATTACTGCAGTTCAGTCTGGTCGAACTGTACTCAAAACTTAAATTCACTTCAAATTTTATATATACAGATTAGGTAGAGTTCTGCTATCTGTAGATTTAAAAACTCCAATAAATGATATATTAGATACATTAAGCTGGAAACCACTATATGAGGATGGAGAGAACATTTACTTGTAGTTGTATTCAAGTGTTTACATGGTTATCAGGGATGTCACCATGCTGGTCGGCGGTAGAAGGGCCCGTCCAGCACTCAACATTTCCGAACAGGATTTACAGGCTCCCGACCACCACTATTATTTCAACAGTTTACAAATTGTAACAAAATAATTAGTTTACCTAAACACAATAGACAAGCTAAATTGATAGATGAAGACAAGAAGAATACAATAAATGTCTGTCTCTTATACACATCTAGATGTGTATAAGAGACAGGTATACATAAAAGCGAGAGTATTCCAGTGGATGCGATCTACAACCTCTGAATTTGCCTAGTAACGATGAATTCGTCCAGAAAATGGTAATATTTTATGAGAAATAGTCTGTATTTCTCATTTTTTTTATTCTCTTACGTAAAACTAAAATTCATGCCAATATTTTTCCATGATTTATAATAATTGGAGTAATGTAAATGAATATTTTCTGAAAAAAGTCAGTTTTTAGTGAAATTTTGCCGGGAATGGGGATTTAACACATCGGAAGTATTCCTGTGAAAACATAGTTCCATTACATAAAACTTTGGATTTTTTTTCTCAAAATTGTGTTAAATGTCTGGTTGTCACTGGATTTATGAACTGATGAATCCTGATAAAAGCTCCATATGGTGTTCCCTGAGAGCTTATATATATTTTTGATGTCTTCAAAAACCTCAGCCATTTGCTGGCAGAAGAACCAGAGTCTAATCAAAAGTGTAACCCCAGCAGGGCTCAATTTGAACTTATACTTCCCTGAGGATCAAAGAACAGCAATTGCTTTGATTTAGGACCAATTTACTGACAATGTCGACACATCACAATATATCTATGGAGAATCATTTGAGGTGGCATATGACAGCTCACTCCTGACAAACTTACTTTCAGCGCCAGACGTTACCAACATCTGAGACGAAAGAGTCCTCTTAACTTGGTCAAGCGGACATTGGGGTCTTGATGCCATTCTCCACAATAACAATATTATTTAGATATAATAATTCTGTATTTTTTGACATTTTATTTCAAGGCAATTTATTTAGGGTCCTCGGAGTAAAAGGTTGCCGACCGTAGCTTTAGTTCTCTGGTCTGTCATGCACCCTGTAATTTTAGTTACCATACTCACTGACCAAACAACTAATGATAAACTGAAGCGCACGTATATTGTATGAACATCAAACTAATATTACTACACAAATATCCCATAAATATCGTATGAATAATACAATGCGAATATTACATGCATACTGCAAGAATATCACATGAAAACCTGAGACTGCCAGATTAAATGCGGGAATGTCTGAGGAATTTTTTTTTTTCAAACAAGGCAAATTAATTCTCGAGCATTCGGAGATATTAATCTAAAAGAACTGAAGCAACGCAAGTTGAAAACAATACATTAAAGTTGTACAGCATAAAGTAAGCAATAAATCAAAGAATTTTATTGCCGTGTGACTAATCAAGTAGCTACGATTTTCAAATTGTATGATCGTGTCTTCAATTTGAAGACCTAATTCCAATGTTGGTACTGCGTAGCGGGCAGGTATATTACCGTGGTCTGAACACTCCTTTGATTTAACCCATATTCTGGATTTTCTTTATTTATTGAATTAATTTTTCAATATTGGTAATATTCACTACTTGGAATTGAATTAAGGAATTGACCACACTCTAGTTCTTTAGATATTATAATGGTACAGTAATGCGAATTATATAGCAAGATGTATATGTTATATAAATATATATCTTACTTAAGTGCATCATGCTTGATGATCATTATAAAATTGTTAATGGACACAACAAATTATTAAAAAGTTAACTTAACACTAGTAAAAAAAATGTTAATTGTCAAAATCAAACGATTATTAATATTATATTATATATGCTTAACAGTAATAATTCAATGTTAATATTAGGTATCATGAAGATAATAGTGACATGGATTTGATATTAAAAATGATAATTTTAATAATATTAAGCCATGAATTTTAATAATGTTAAGCCATGTTCTTAGGCCTACCTGTCCTCCCTGGTTACTGTAGCCGATGAATGTTGCCACACTGGCCCTCCTCCTTCCTCCCTAACAAAAATGAATTTAAATATTAAATTAATTACTCTTTCTTGGCATAAATTTTTATTTTTTGATAGGATCTCAAAAGTAGTGAATACCGGTATAGTGTAGTATACTAAAATAAAAAGTAGTATCAATATACCATTACAAGTCTGTTGCCAGGAGGTACGAGCGGTTCGAAAGAACCCACTTTTGCTAGATATGCCCTTATAAATTATTAGTAAAAAGTGCCTTTTGTATGGAAAACAACATTCCAACATTGAAATTTAGTATTTTTTTATGAATTGGAGTGCCATTTCTGAACATCTTTATCATTAAATCTTCTCTAACCATGTTTGGGATAGGTGTCTGTGGACTCAAAGTGCCCCTTTGTGAAAAATTAGAACCCTCCTTTAGAAATCCTTCCTACAGGCTTGCATTATTGATGATATACAGTATTATAAATTTATTCATTTTAATGTCAACTAAAAATAAATTTTGAATGCAAGTTGGTTTCATATCAATTTAATTAAAGGCAATTCATAAAATAAACCACCAGGCCAACATATAAATAATACTAAGCGTTAAAAGCTTCATTCCATTCTGTAATTTGTGAAAGAAATTTAAAAAAAATCACCACCCCTGCGATAGAGGGCAGCAAACACATTCCATGCACCCAGAAGCAAGCAATTATGTATTACAAATATGAATTGTTATATTTCATTTACATTAACATATAAATAAAGATTAATCATTATTATCATGCAAAATAAACTAGTAAATGCAAATGTAAATTATATTTCTAATAATAAAAAATACACATATATTAGATAAATCAAATTTGATTAAACACTATTACCCGATGAAAGCTCGCAGTAAGTTTACATCAAGTTATGCTTGGTTTATTATCGATGAAACAGTTCTACAACTACTATTCTTAATATGACCAGAAGTATATTACTTTTTTTCAAATAAAATTTGTGGCAAATCTACTACTGTATCATGTATGGTCTATATAATACATACATATAATGTGTGTATTTATTATACATGTGTACCATTACAATATACAGTATGCCATGATAACTGACTTGTCCATAGCCACATTTCTTTGTAATTAGCAAGCTTGTAATTGCTTGTCTTGATTTTTGACTGAATTGTTTTAAATGTTTTACACCAATTTGCAATTGGCAGCATACACGTCCGCTGTTGGTTCAGTGAAAATTTATTAAAAATTAATAAAATAAAAAATAAAAATAATGATGAAGATTCATCTATCCAAAGTCTAATGTTAAATATTTATAATTAGTTCTAGGTAAGCATTATATATCCCCTTTCCTCGCTATTACTTACTACAACATAGTCATCATAATTGTCATTTAAAACAATTATTATTATTTTAATTCAATGATTAAGTTGTCAAAAAATGTAAAAAAAAGATTGTTTTTTTTCCCCAAGATATCAATCTTGCTTATTTGAATATGAATACACATTTTAAAATTTTCTTTAATAAACTTCTAAAAATTAGCCTAAAAAGTTTTTAATAGCTACATGAATTATTACTACAATTATATTTAGCTAATAAAATTTATTGTTTGATAAAATCATAAAAGTAAACATTTCCAATGAGTTATTCATAGTTAATATGCACAGTTAACATTAATAAATTGCAAAAAAAAGAACCCTCAAGAGAGCAATTCGAAAATAATATAAAGTGATTGAAATGTTTGAAATGTTATATGCACATGACATTAATAGAACTTATGTAATGCTTTAAATATTATACTACAAGTGAAGACATGCTAACAGAACTAATGAGGAAGCAGAGAGTGAATTGGCACCCCTGTCGCCCTCAGCAGCTCTGCAATTCCACTACTGTACTATAGGTGACAAGGAATGCACTAGTGCTACAACTCTACCTCGTTATGAATCAATTCTGTGTCACTTTCACTACGGCAACGACTAACACGAACTCTAGAACGAATCTGAAGGGGTGGAAATCACGCTCACTATATATGTAGATATTTGCATACAATAATAATGTGACTGGCTCTGGTAAAGCAGTGTTTAAGCTGTCATTAGCCAAATAGCCAAATCCTAATAAAAGCTGAATTTTGCTGAATACTTTCATTCAAAATTAGCCAAAAAGCTAATGGAATTCAAGCTATTATTGCTTATATTCTTTTGTTTTAGCTAATCAAATTTCTGTTTGGCCAATTATTTTCATACCAAATTAGCCAATTGCAATTTCCAATTTCCCAAAATGTTTGAAAATCAACATTTTCAGGTTTTTGCAATTTATAATAGATACATTGAAGAACATTTCTGCAAAATATCAGTCACTAAATCTAAGTGAAAAATATATTAAAATTATTTTAAAAATACAAATCTTAATAATAAACTATTGATTTTTTTTGGAATCTTTTTCAAAAACCTACATGGCTGATATCCAATTAACTATTCATAAAACTATTACTCAGCCAATTTCCATCAAATAAACAGTTTTAAAGAAAAATTCATGCAGAATCTAAAAACACCAAAAACTCAATTTAAAATTTTTCCTACAAACGGCTGGTTTTGCCAGAGCCAATCACATATACAGTAATGGCGTATAAGGAATGGAACTATACTAGTATACTACAGTGCAGGAGATATCAAGCGTTCTTCATTTCATTCTGATTGGTCATGTTAAGGTTCAGAATAATGTCTATATTGATTTCTTGTAAATTTATTTTTGCTTAAAAAAAATACAACTAAAGTCCTCTCCAGACTATCATAATTATATAATGGGCATACAACAGTTTTTTGTAAATGAGTTTTATATTCTGGATCAAACTTAAAACTAAAGAATGATTTGTAAATGGTTTTTATAATTTATTATTAAATGACAGAAAGATTCCAAAAATGCAGCCCACCACATTTTCCAAAAGGGGTTGATAGATAACTGCGCCACAGGTTGGAAACCCAATGTGGAAAACACAGTACATTTTCTCAAACTTTATTGTTTGGATAGAGAATTCCATTGTTTTCAAGGTATCTTAAGCTAAATCGAAATAAAAATGCAATGTTGATACAATTTTTGTTATGAAAATGGTTATACACACACAGATATATATTTAGAAATGTAATGAATAGTCGTGCACTATTAACTAATGTACTATTTATTGGAGATTAAATTAACTCATTTATTGGAGAGTAAATTATTATGATTGTATCTAATTACCTTTTGATTTCCGCCACCTGACAACCGCCTTGGCATCAAACGAGAATCTATTATGGCCTTCAAAATGAAAGAACAAGTATTTAGAAATCAAATATAACTAGAAATCAAAGCAAAACTGAAAAAGAAAACTAGAATAAGTGTAAAAATACAATCAAAAAACCTAGAAAATAATATTTATGACTTGTTTGTACTCACCCATAAGAAGTTAACATTCCATGGCATTGAAAAATAAAGAGAAGAAAAGAACGCCATGAGAAACATGTACTTAGTATCGAAGACAATATTGACAATGTAAAATTATGCATGATTATCCACAAGAAATAATAAAAATATATTTAAAGCGTTTCAAGAAATCAGAGTTTGTATAGATATATATACATATATAAGTTTGCATATAATGTAAACATATGACTTTAGCCTTAAGAACACATTGATAAATATATTATAAGATATTACTATCAAGCAAGAAAAAAGATATTTAAATAAAAGAAAATGTTGAATTTCAGTGTAGAATCCTCATGCAGTAGTATCCCTTATGTGTCATATAAATTTGAGCAACATAAATAATAAATTGAAGCGAGAAACACTGTGTTTTTCAGATATAATTTTTTTTATTGTTTATTATTAACATCAGTTCAGCTTTCCTTCAGGTGTATAGAATAAAATTAAGTTTTGTGTGTTGGATCCTTTGTACTATAGAAAATTTAGAAGAAGAAATCATTCATTCAACTTCATTACAAAAAAAAAACAAAAAAAACAAAAAAAAAACAGAAAATGAAAGTACAGTACATTCATTCTATATCACTGAAGAGGATTTATATAATAGAATTTCACACATACTGTAATAGCTATATACAAAACAACAGAAGTGGTTAAAAAATATGATAATGATGTTGAATTAAAGGCTAAAAAGCTATTCTGTAAAACATTTTATCAAACCAACCTTGTCTATCCTCAGCTAACAGAAATTAAAATTAAAGGTAAAAAGAACTGTGTTAAAAAAATGATTTTTATAGAATAAAACTTATAGTCAAACCATAGAAGCAAAAGAGTGAATTATAAATAATTATGATAAATTATGTTGATTACGTAAAATAGATCACTTAAGTTACTAAAAACTAACAAACTAAATGTTAGTCAGACTTGGAATAATGGGATAAAAACTGAATAATTAGCTGTATATGGCACAAAAAATAAATAAAATAAAACAGCACTAAATAATTTATTTTATTTTATTTCAAAAGCATTCAACACTGTCCATGGTTACATCACTTATTCAATTGAATTCAATAAGTGACAATTCTTTGCTTTAATGTGCCTTCTAGGGCCATTATCCACTAAATAAATGTACTCACCATCAGTAGCCAGACCAGTTAAACTGTTGCCTCTGAATAGCAGTTTATTCTCCTCTAAAAGTTTTCTAAAAATATCATAAAAGTAGATACTCATTTAATTCATTGTTTCTCTGTTCTTTTAGCAATGTCCAATTAAAAAAAAACATTAAAAGAAATTGTTATAGAAATATTGTATATTTTAATATTTATTTTTATTTGTTTTTTTTAAATTATTTTTTTCAATTTTAAACAAGCATCCAAAATGAACGCTTTGTTCTCACTTACCTTTCCCATTGTAACACTTTACCTACAACAATGGGATTCAAAAAATTATACCCTTGATTTAGAATTAGAAGCGCAAATCATAACAATAACCATATAATGACAATAATAATTATTAATTAGATTAGAGCTATGGCTTTGTAGTTTAAAGATGCTTGCATCTCAAGATTATCCCTTCAAATTTTGAGAAGAAATGTCACCATTTTCTCTTACAACCCAAAATATCTCTACTCTCAAAGCCTTAAAGAAGCTTGGTTTTAGAGCATCACAGACTCAAAATTATCAACTTTGACGAATAGAACTTTGATAAATGTGAATGATAAATTCTGTTACAGTGACAACCTATTAGGGGCCTTCACCTTGCTTCCTCTAATTCTGCATGCTCCTTTTCATACATCTTCTTAAGGTTCTCCACATGCTTTATCATAACTTCAGCCGCAGCACTTAGACGATTTTCCTGTGTACAACAATATATTAAAATTCTTTATGAAACTTACAGTAAATAAAAAAGAAAATTTTACCTAAACCCAGTAGTTCCTTATCAGAACTACATAACAGGATGTTAATTGTTTTGTTAACATAAACTAAGTTGAGTTTTGATAGGTATCATGTGGACAGTTGACCAAAATATAGATAGTAAAAACGCTATTTTTTTCTGACTTTTCTTAGGCTGTTGATGCAGTGCCATTCTCCATGACACTGTTGTAAAGGAGGCTGTCCAGGAGGTGTTGTTGTCTAGCATATTGCAACAAAGATAAATTTTAAATACTTTGTACTCCCTAAAGAGAGTTGTGCTTCTTGTGGAGGTCAGTAAATGTCCAAAAATAAAAAAAATAAAAAATGTTCTTTTTAGGTTGAACTGAGTAAAGAGGATGCTTAATTGCTTACCTGCTGTGTGGCTCCTAGAAGCTCTGCCTTAGAGCATAGCCTAGTTGATGATGCATGTAAATATTCAAGATGACTTCGGATTTTATTAATGCAATCTTTAGCCTCAAGGTCTTTGCAAAGTGGATCAAGTGTCTGAGTTTGAAGAAATATCAAAACATTATTGATTACTAATTATTCTTTATTAAATAATTTATATAATCTTCAAATATGATGTGGCAACACATCATTATCAATTTATACACTACATACTACTACAGATATATTTTTTCCCCTAAAACTTTTAAAGTAAATATATCTCATACAATATACTATCAGAAAAAAATGTATTATTATGGCTTATCAAAATTCTGATAGGGTAAACCAGAGTTTACACTTATTAGCGAAGTGGAACATAAAAAATAAATATTAATAAAAATGTTTACT